CACACACACACACACACACACACACACACACACACACACACACACACACATTACAGAGACCTGCAAGGTATATGAAGCTAAAATACAGTCATAAAAAGCTCACTGATTAGCTTTAATTGTGTTACAGTTCTCAGTTTTATGAGATATTTTTTCTTTAAATGGTTACAGAAACCTTTACTCTGACACCACCACTCTTCAGGAAGGATTACAAAAGTAGAATAAACTTATTATAAGAGACAAAAAACATTGCATATATATTTTTGTTGTAATTTTAAAGCACAACAAGCATGATCCTTGCAAACAGAAATTATCAGTAAGACCAAATTCACTGCCTTAACTGTCTACAACAGCCTCTATTTTTTTTTTACTAATAATGCAACAAAAACCTGTGACATTACAATGACTAAATATGAAAAGGTAATGATGTTTTTATGATATTTTAAAGCTACTGGAGCAGGCTGAATTCTGATACTTGCATATTTTGACTTTTGAACTTGGCACTGGAAAGTCACAGCTTTGATTCCCCACCATGCCTAAGCATTAAAGGTGTCCTTGAGCAAGACACCTAAGCTGTAACTGCTCCCCTGGTGCTTAAATAGCTACCCACTGCTTCAYTTAGGTGTACCTCACGTGCCATGTGTCATTCAATGATGACAATACAGCACGTTCACTACCATCAGAAGTCACATTATCTACAAGTTCCTTAACTTAGCTTGCAAAAATCCCAGCACATCTTAAAAAAGCAATCTATTTAGTTGCTAAAAAATAAAGAAATTTGCAAGATGTAAACATTTTTAAGCAAGCAGTGATGTGTTGCAGCAGGAGAAATAAACCTATTGCAGTGCTCACAATGATTTTTACCTCAATGTTTTGGAGATGAGGCCTAAAAGAGGAAAGTGAAATTTTCAGGTTTGATTTGATATTTGTAAATGTTCTGCTTGGTTAAAACTGAAGGCAGAAAATCTGAATCCTAAATTTCCMACAAAGAGAGTTAAATGTGTGTTAACTGTCACTGTGGACCTGCCCTGATTTCGGGCAAAGCGCACAGTCTTGAGAATTAGTCACAAAGACTAAATGAGGTTATAAATAGGCTTTTAGTCATACAGTGAGCTCCTGTGCTTGGTGGTGTATTTTTCTACATTATGGGGAAGAGTTTTACACTGATGCTGTTCTGTCTGAGTGCACCTTTAGAAAGAGATAACAAAACAATCTGCTTTAACATTAAAGCATAGCTAACCACCGCTGTGAAAGAATAACCCCGCCCCCAGGTAATTAAAAAAGGATTTCAACAAAGCAGGCAGAGCCAAAGGACACCGAGGGGCATAAGCATGTACTGTTTTAACCAATAGGAAAATTCAACTGCAGTAGCTACCGTTCCACCCATAGAGGGCAGCACCAAGACATTTTAGACCAAATATTGCAAAATTAAAGAAATTTATGCAAAAATGTCAAAATTTGCACAGAAATACAAAGATAATGCCCTTAAGGCACAATTTAGACAGTTTAATCTGCAAAAAAAAGTGTATTTTGGGTTTAGCTTTTTAACCAAGTAAACTGAAATCAAGGCAAAAAAAGTTTATTGCCTTATATTTTCTCAATTGGTAATTTAGAGACAAATTCTGTTCAAATACAGTAAGTATACAGCACATTACAAGCTTTCAAACTATTTAGAAAACCACAATAGTTTGAAGGAACAGTATTTTCAAGGTTTCATTTATATCTTTCTAAATCACAAACACTTAAGTTCACTTCTCTGAAGGAAGACTGGGTGTACCTCAGGGCTGATCCTTCCACTAATTATTATTTTTTTTCTTTTTGGAATAAAACCATACAGATTAATCTTAGTAAATSTATCCTTAAAGCTGAAAGATCTCTCCAAATTCACATTTGAAAAGATTCCTTTTATGTAACTATCAAAAAATATCTGGGAAGTTTCAATTTACAAGTTCATAGTCCAGTAGCCTACTTGCGAGACAATTTAAGCATTATTACTGATACCTGTAATATTTTTTAAAATTTTAACAAGTTATTTTATTTAAAGTATTTTTTGCTTTTCAACTAGAAACATATTTTACTCCTAAGCGCCCCCCTACTGGACTTGGGGGCCCCAAGCAATGGTTTAGTTGGCTTACTATGTCATGGGTTGGTTCTGAAAGATGTAAAATAAAGGTGAATCATTATAATGTACTGTTTATTACTACAAAAACATGCTATTGGTAATAAACAGATTTTTTTATTTCTAGTATTAATATCCTCAAGTCCTTCTTCATGTTTTTTTTTAATATTTTATAACTAGAGTTCCTAGTTAAATAAATACACTCTAAAACTACTTAATAAAAGACACAAAAGGTTAATAAATTGTTTTAAATTGTCACCACCTTGTCTTTTGATCAATTTATCTTCACTTATTTGCATGATTGACCATTTTTTTAAATTCCGTGTCCAGTAATGTCAATATTCCAGCAGCAAAACGTAAAATCCTTCTTGAGTCGTGTTTTTAAATGCCATGTTTCAGGGAGATAAAGATCTAATTCTGAGTATCATCTTTCTAACCTTTTCCTGCTTAATCTGCATCTCAGGCTCGTGCGTCTCGCCTGGTGGCATCTCCATGCAGCCTCAGAGAACCGCTGCCCTACGATGCCTCCACTTATTCTGTGTGTGTGTGTGTGTGTGCTCGCTCAGTCTTGACCATTGCCTCCAATTGATCATCTATTACACATCAATGAAGGTGAAGGGGCAATGAACTGTGTGTGTGTGTGTGTGTGTGTGTGTGTGTGTGTGTGTGTGTGTGTGTGATTGCTCACCCATGACAGAAACGTCATACTCGATCAGGAACAGAGCTTCCTGGCTGCTCTGCATCAGCATGGTCAAAGCGTCAGCATGCCTCTCTCTGTTCAGAGGCATCCCGTCTATGCTCAAAACTCGGTCTCCGGCCTTCAGAGTGCCCTCTCTGCAGGAGAAAAACAATGAAAAGAATAAAAACATACTTGAGCGGTGCATGATGCTCACAGAGCCGTTCAAGCAGCGATCACGGTAAATGATGGAGCGTTTCCCTCCCAGGTGAGATGGAGGACTAACGGGACAAATGATGCTTTGATGCTGAATTATGTTTGCTTCCATGTTTTTCAGTGCTCAGTTTTCATGGTGTGTAAGGGGGGTGGGGGGCAATGCCGTGTTAGCCTCAGGAAGAGCAGTGCCCTTTCTGCTTTGAAGATACTTTTTATGTGTCACAGCCACAATTTCATGCAGCGCCTGAGCAACAAACACAGCAATGTCCATGTACTGGGATTAAAATCAGCAATGATGCTCACAGTCTAATTCCACATGGATTACAGAACCGGGTTTTAATTCAGGCAATTACTAAAATGCCATCAGTTTGTTGCAATTTTTTATGAACACRGTGAAGAAACATGCATTCAAGCTTAATCATGGATAGTCAAGGCATTAAACATAAAATCCAGATAAATAGTAACACTTATTTATGCAAATTTTTCTCTAAAACATACATTTCCATCCTCACCTGTCAGCTGGACCCCCAGGCCTTACGCTGGTGACCACCAGAGGGCGGGACCTCCTCCAGTCTTCATGGAAACCCCCTTAAACAAAACAAAATAATTGTAACCATAAATCAAAACAAAACTTTCCAACTTTTTAGTTCAAATATGTTGTCATACTTTCACCTACCTCTCATGACAAAGCCAAAACTGTTTCCTTCCTTGTGTAACAGCACCTCTATGGTTTTGGTTAGGACTCCTGATGGGTTCTGGACTACATGAAAAGAAAAAAGCGTCAGATAGAATAACTGTTCTCAGATAAACACTGGTGATAAAAATTAGTGCAAAAATAACACTTGAAAGGTGCTAAAACTTAAAACAAGAAAAGAAAAAAGAAAGCGATTCATGATGTTTAGGTTGTACAAGCTCTTATCCACCCTGAAGGTTAACCTTGGACAATWTCTGATGATTGGCTCTTTTAAATAAAACCAGAGAGGAGAAGGTAGCAATGACTCAGCCTGCAACTGAGAATGTGGATGGACGACAACAGAGCTGCTTCATGGAAGAAGAACCTCAGTTTAGCCTGTTAGCTTTTGCGCTAGCTCAGAGCTAAAATGCATAGGCCTTATATTGCCATGTAAGGCCTATGTATATTAGCTTAGTTATGTGCCTACTGTATTTGTAGTCTTTGTTTTACAGTTTAAATTTATCAAATAATGTCTAATGATACAAGTTATCATGGGTCCCTTCAAACCCAGATTGATATTCTTGTTGATGGAATTAAAATTAACTGGTTAAGTTGGGCAAGTTTTACTCCACAAATGGGGTTTCAACAGAACCTGTTATTATTTTAACATGACCCAGCAGAGTCTAATCAAAGAAACAAACTGAGCTTTTACCACATGTGCAAGCTTTCGGTTGTTTTCTGGTTAAAGGAACTGTGTGTGTAAAAAGGTGAGGCTGAGCCTCCTGAAGGTACAKTGACCTCCTCAGTGTGATCTGCTCTGTTTGAAAGTCAAAGCCTCAAGCCAAATGCTTTGTTTTTGAATTTAGTGTGTTATGACTCAAAGGACTACAGCCTCATACATGCTTCCATAAGTTTACAACCAAATATTCTACACATAATTTTACCAAAAGCAAATATATGAAAATGCTTTCATCCATCTTGTTCCAGTAGCCCATTTCATATCAGAWTGTCATGTTTAACCAGCATCTGACRCAGATCTTGTGAATTTGGGCAACTTGCAAGCCAGCATAGCTTCATTTCTATGTCCCTTCCTCATAATATAACCAAGGTTGGCACCAGGGTTCAAACCCTGAACCCCTGATCTTTATGCACTAAAGTCATATGACTTCATCACTGCACCAAATCCAAGAACCACTGGTAAATCAAGGTTGTCAACAAATCTTACCAGTGGCCAGAGAAGGCTGGGACCTCAGCCTAACCTTCAGCATAAGAGCAATGGAGGCTGGAGTCTACCATACCAGACAGGACTCAAGATGAAGATTGTGCAAAGACGACAATACAGCACATAGCAGGGTGTAGTATGAAGGCAAGMAAAGCATACATAGAACTTCWTAATCAAGTAGCTGGAATAGTGTACAGGAACATTTGGGCTGAGTATGGACTGGAGATCCCACAGTCAAAGTGGGAGATCCTACCAAGGGTGATGGAGAATAGCAGGACAGGATAGCTAACCAAACACTGTGGTGGTCGACAAGAAGGCAGTGGTTATAGATTCAAGTGACTAACATCAGGAAGGAGCATGAGAAGCTGGGAACATACCAAGGGCTGACAGTGGAAAAAAGAGATGTTGTGGAGATAGAAGGAATCAGTGGGGCCAGTGGTGCTGTAACCTTCAAACTGGAAAAATGGCTCCAACAGACCCCAGGAACAACCTCAGAAATCAGTCCAGAAGAGCACAATCCAAGAAACAGCTAAGACACTGAGCAGAACCCTCAAGGCCTCTGGTAGAGGACTGAGTGAAGTGGAAAAATAGGGCAAGCTGGGGAAAGCAGGGTGTGTGCATGTGTGTATATATGTACAATATACGTATGCACACATGCATTTACATATTATGTTTTCATAATTTTACCAAGAAGCTGTGATGTTTAACCAAAACTAAAGTAAAAAAATAAAAATACTGTGAAGTTGAACTTAAACAATACAACAATAAAAACAAGCAAGAAAAATAACTTCGTAAATGTGGTCGTAAACCCAAACTGTCATCCATCTCTCCAGAATGAGCCAACTGTCTTTTATTTTAACAACAGAGCAAAAGATCTGTAAGTCCATATTTATGACCCCCACACGTGAAGCGTAAGCGGGAGTCATATTGTTTTTGTACTGTTTATTTTATTTTATTWAAAAAAAATTTCAGTGATTTTTGGTCAACCGTAGCACAAAAACGGCTGCACCGATCAACATGAAATTTGGCAGGACTGTAGACGAGTGTGACCTACACTGCACCAGCCAACGGTTTTTTGATGGACCCCATATTTGAGGAGGGGGCTCCTTTCAAAGTGGGGATGTCAGTACAAGCAAAATCGCTTATAACTCAGAAACTGTTCAACATAG